GCGAGAAATACAAATAGCAGCGCCGGCATGAACGTGTTAATATATATATGTCGGAGAAGAGTCAGGAACAGGATTGTGGGCGTTTGATAGACCTCCCTTGGAGTTGGCCAGCGTTGTGTTATAACGAAGATACGGCCTGATACTACGAGTATGAACACTATCGATTCGACGATCAACAGCGGCGATTAGGCACTCGCGACACTAGTGATAATGCTCTTAGGTTCGATAACGAATCCAAGGTCAACGGAAGAATAGGTATACTTGCTCTAACTCAAACGTGTACTACTCCCTTCGCCGATGAGATCTCGAGAAAGATCTTTTGGTCGATTTGAGACAAAAGCTGCCTGTCCGTTTGCCCAAATCTTAATTGCCGAAAAACCCAGGTTTTATAGCGGGTCCTCGGGCTAACTAGACTTGTGCTATGTACGTGCCTCAACGTTAGGTATTCATTGTCCGAAGAAACCATTGGCATGTTTTACTGTCGGGTACCTCTATGGGTATTACCTTTAATGAGGGTCATAAAATCGCTCTGCTCCTTTGTTAGACGGAGCGCCCGTCCCGTTGACCGCGGCTACGTTCGGCGGCTGATGGTCGCCTTGGGCCCAAGTTTATTATCACAAATCGCAAACAAGCACAATTGGGCAGAATAACGGCAAATTATTTAATTACAACTGTAAACTTTAATTACGATTTTACGGATTTTCCCAAAGTTCCAGGGGAAGGCCCCGGTGTCCTTTCGTCTCCGACATATATATATATATATACATATATATATACATATATATATATATATATATATATATACATATATATATACATATATATATATATATATATATATATATGTCTTCGCGACAAATAATCCAATCAAGTCAACCCCAAGATGGTTACAAATTTGGAATGAAAAATATGGAATTATAAAAATCTAATAAAAATCTTTCTTAAAAGAAACGTTATAAATATATATATGTCGGGTTAAGGTTGGAATTTTGGGTGTTTGACGAACCTTCACTCGAATTTGCCATCGCGGTTATAGCTGATATTTATTGGTACAAATGTGGTTATTACAAAAGGCTACAAGTAATAGCGGCGATCGGATGGTCGAGATGTTGATGACAATGAATTCAGGTTCGATAACGAATCCACGGTCAACGGAATGACGAATGCGATGTGGTACACGTATGACTCAACGTACAAATAAAACTTATCCGAATGAACTAACCCGCAGTCCAAGTGAAACTGCCCTTATATATTCTTCTCCCCACCTCTCGGGTCAATCTTTGTTTTTAAGGAGAGCTGTATAATTATTCCATACCTCTGTCAGGTACACGTCCCTCCCGTGACCGTGGCTACGTTCAGTGACCCGTTATGTCACTTCGAGCCCAAGCCCATCGTCATAAAATCGGATTAGAACATTAAAACTATTTCTTAGTTTTATTACTTAAGTGTAGCTATAGTAAAAGTCTGGACTAGGGTATTGGGGTTTTCCCCAACATTCCAAAAGGGAAGCCCCGATATTCTTTCATCTCCGACATATACATATATATATATAACATGTATTCAAAGGAATAAATAAAATATTAATTAAACACTGACTAACTAAGGATTTATTTCTGATATATCTGTACACAATGCTTCAAATTTGTTAACTACGGGCGATATTTCTGAGTCTTCGCTTGTTGTCTCGTTAGAATGGTCAGAAGTATCGGATGTTTCTTGCGATGTTTTCTCTTCATGTTCTCGATTTTCTGAGAGTTTCTGTTCGTCATTTTCATCTTCGGACGAAATATATATTCCTCTCATATCACTTACATCTTCGCCTTTATTTTTAGCTTGAATCCATTTAACTAGTTCAATTTCTGGATGATTCTCCAACTTTCCTGTTATAAGATAGAAAGAGATTATTTTAAAAATTAGTAAATTATTTATACCAACGTCTAACGACGATTACCTTTATTAAGACTCCAATCTTGGGGATATACGTATATACAAATTTTCCCTTCAAGGGCCATCCTTAATAACGAATTAGCTGCCCTGTAAGAATCGTATCTAGCAGTTCGTGCAGTGAAGAAATTTCGTTTAGCAGCCCAACTATCACAAATATCCATAGCGCTCCATGTATCATCGTTATCTTGATGTTGCAATTTAAGTATCTTTGGTAAATCTATTCTCTCAGCTAGAAATTTAATTGTTGTATATGGTTCGCTGACTTGAGCTATTGGGAAAGATCCCATTAATATTTGTAGTTGTTTAGGTACTGTAGATGGAAATACTAATCCTGGACAGTCACAGAGGCAAACAGTTTTTGTAAGAAATATAGTTTGAAAATGTTTAGTATGTCCTGGTGTACGTGACACGCTAACAACTTTTTTGCCTATGAAAGATATTTAACAAATGACATTTAAATATTTAAACATTGTCATTTTCTAAATTTCAATTTTTTTATAAAAAATACTGCTTACCCATTAATGCATTCATTAAGGACGATTTTCCAACATTTGGAGTTCCGATACATCCTATGGATAAAACTCCATTTTTATAACGTTCATGCTTGATATAACTTGTATCTCCTTTTTCTATAGTAATATTGCTTTTATGATCGACGTCATCTAAATCAAATTCCATTTGCATTTCTTCTTGAATCTTTTCTTGCCAAGAAGTTAAATCCACGTTATCTCCAACAATTTCTTTACAAATATCCAACAATTTCTGGGCTCCTTCTGCAGCCATTTTAAGTTTTCCCTTTCTCCGCCTGTGTTTCATTCCCTTTGTATCCCTTTTATTTCCACATAAATTATAAGTGGGATACGAAGTGAACATCAAAATATGTAACTTTGGGTATATGGTATGAAAATATTCTTTCCATGCTATTACTAAAGCTGGAGGTGCTAAATCAATCTTATTCAATACTAAAATCATGTCTTTTTTAAGTTCATTCGTTATATACTCGTATAAATATGGAGGAAACATTAAAACGGTATATCTAATATCAACAATGATTAATAAAATATCAGACATCTCAAGAACTCTCCATAACTGCCTCCAAGTTTCTAAATTTAATTCAAAGTAACTGATGGTATTTAACTTTTCCATGTTTTTTAAATATTCCTAAAAATATAAGCCAATATTAAATTTATCTCAACAAACATAAATGTGTATTACAATTACTTACAGTAAAATACTTATGTTCTGCCAATTCTAATTGTTTTTTTGACATATTAAAGTCCCATGGTGGCCTTTTTGGCATATCAATTCCAGGTGGAAAATAATTATTTGAAACTTCTTGATCTTTAAGAGATAAAGGTACAATAGCACTTCTGGATTGTTTCTTTCGTTTCAGTATTTCTTCTTCACTGTCTTGAAAGAATTGTAAAGTATATCTGTTTCTAAGAGAATTATCATTTTTTGGCTGTTTATTAATTTTTTGTATAGCATTATATTCAAGATCACTAGAGTAATTTATGTCATCTTCCTTGTATCCGCTGTGACTTTCACCTGCTAATTATAACATAAAATTAATTATTCGAATATGTAATATATAAAACGTATCGTTCATTGTTATATTGTGCATACATACTATGTAAAGCCAAATTTTGCCGTTGCTTCTTAGTTTGCAATTGCTGTTTCTTTGCTTTACCGCTAAATGGTTTCTTTCTTCTTGGTTTCGACATTTTTCAATTAACTCAATTTTTCAATTAACTTAACCTCATAAACTTCACTAACTTCTTTATTTTGACGTTACGGTATGACACATTAAGTACACAGTAAGTGAATCCTTTGACTAGCGGGATGCCTATATCGTATATAAGATTAAAAATTACTACTTTAATCAATATGTATATTTAAATTAACATTTTAAGAATTTAACAATTACTTTTAACAAGATTAAGATTCTATGGTTACAAAATTAATTATATCAATATATAAGATTTTATATATTTTTGACTCGTAAATGACCGAAGGAGTTTGTTTACTAATCAACTTTAACTTACGCTTCGGCAGTCCGATCCGCTGAAGCACTGTCACTGAACTGAAGAGCGCACCAGAAATGCGCACAGTATGTGTCACGTAAACTTAGGGGTAAACTGATCGGATGGATGTTCACTGTTCGATGGTTTTGTCTATTTCTCCCCAGGTGTCTCGTCTCATTACGGAGGAAAGCTCGGTGCGGGTGTGCCCTTTTTAATTAACAACGCGGATTCGCTGTTCGCACCTTCCGTTAGGAAAAGTGGGGGTAACGATCCACGATGCCAATTGGTTATAGGTCATGTTAATAAATGAAGTAGGTAGGTAGTAGGTAATATTGTTTATGAGAAAAACCAGCTTTTTCGTTAGTCAAGTATTGGGTTTTTCCCACTAGCTACCTGCTTTCCCCGTAATTAGTAAGGACGTATAACAACCTAAGGGCTGTTTCAAGGACCATTCATAAACAGATAACAGAAATAATGAATTTAGAAAGTTTAGGTTTATGGTGGGTCCCTGGGGTAATTGAGGGTGCGCGGTGGCCTCTGATAAAATTGACGTTACAAGTGCGTGGGAATGAAATATCGACGATATGAAATATCGTTTCACTGTCAATGGATTTAACAGATTTTTTAGCACGAAACAGTATACGATTTGGATGTTTGAAATATATTGCGTAAAACGTTTTGATGTTGTTTCAACAATGATTAACTTTTAAGAAGCGATTAATCCAATATATCGATAAAATCAACAGAAAATATTCCGCCGCTGACGAAAAAATATATTATTTACTACAGATGGCATTGGTGTATGCCCGATATACGGGGTGCCGAACCCAGGATTCATCGTGTGGTCGCCACCTATAAGTGCACTCATACTCACAGGTCATCTCGCGGGTGCCACCTATGAGCG